CTTGCTAGTCAAACGCCTGTCAGCCCCAGTATGACCTATCAGGCAGGAGGCAGCCGTTTTAGTCCAATCTCTGCATCAGCTGCCTGCACTCAGCCGCCAGATCATGAAAATTGGCTTTCCTCTGCGTTGACACAGAATCCGCGCTACTTTACAAGGTTAGAGGACAGGCAAACGATCTTACCAGAAGTAAATAAATCAGTTTATGACTTGGAGTTGATGCTGGCTCTATTGATGCATCAATCACTGCCTGCACAAGCCGAGGCAGCCGAGTGGTTGGCAAGCCAGGCCACAGAACAGAAGCCGTCACCGATGGTTATGACTGCTCCCAAAGAGACTACTTTGCTCGAAACTAATTCCCCATCCATTGTGAATGGCTTAGCTGAGGATTCTGGTTATGCTTCTACAAGGGCCTGCATCTGGACACCTCAGTTATGCGCTCAAGCCAAATATTTTACTGGAATGCACGCCAGTTATGACAGAGGATCAGCCAGAAGCTCTATTTCTGAGAATGTAGCTCCTCCTATAGACGAGTTGTCAAGAGAGGAAGGTAATGAAGCTTGGAGAAGGTCATCCATGAAGTCACCAATTCTGGCTCTCCGACAGAATTTTAGGCAGCGTGAAGGGTCAAATTTACTTGATCCGACAGTAATCTGCAAGAGCGATACGATTTCTGCAGTCTCATCACTCCCTCCTCAAACAGCCTCTCAGTTGCCTGCTCTTTCATGTCCCGCCGCATTTTCACCTTCAGTCATGTGTCCCTCACATTCACTGCCTTCAACTATAACTGGCGAATGTGAAAAGGAAATCCTTAGACTACTCAGCCAGCTACCGATATCCCAGCAGTTAGCTTGGATGCAGACGTTAAAACTCCTCTAATTGGATTTATGCGCAAAGTTGAACATAAGGTTCTTCAACTTCGCCATTAAGCCTATAGATTCTAGCTGTTTACCACTGGAATCAATTTATTCGAGGCTATTCACCAACTTATTTCCTTGATCCAAACTACAGTTTGATTCTCTCATATACATTTGCAGCTCCTTAGATTTAGAACCATAAAGGTGTTGGACTCGTTCGCTTAATAGTGCCTTTTTCAAGTTTGCTACACCAAGCTAGAATAAAAATATGAGATTAATAGGGGTCAAGTTTTATCCTACTCATTCTTATTACTCTTCACTTGTGCTAATTCTCCAGGAAAAATCTGGTACAATTAATAGCAGGTATGCGAAAAATATAGCTTTATATAAAAGGCTTCTCGTTCAACGATTCTAGGGGTTTCTATTCCAGGTATTTAATAGCATTTTTGATACCCTTTTCCACTATTTTATACTCATCCAAGTCAAATTACCTCACGGCTATGCAAATCTGATTTAACTTTTCTACTTCGAGTTTGAATATTTATAGAAGAGCATTTTGCTGCATGCCTCTTCCGACTCGTTTTCTTGATCGCCCCTTTAGTCTCGAAAACCTGAATTAATATATATTATAAGAATTATTATCTGGGTGTGGAATAGACTATGAGCATGATCTTGGATAACGCATGGAACATAAATCTGACTAACGTAAACCAAAGTGTTCAATTGTATGGCCCTTTCCATTACTATCCGAGCATGCTTCATTTTCATTGTTTGTCTTCTTGCCTTGCGTTAATAGTAAAATATTTAAAGAATACTTCTTCATTTACCAGTCTTTTCCATTATTTATTCTTTGCGGGGACTTGCATATCTACGGGCTTCATGGATCGTGACCCCAATTACGGCATAAATTACCAACGGAAAAATTTCATCAAATCTCTCGCTTCCTCAACACTTTTCTGATTTCATAATAAATCGCTTGGTAATCACACCAAGCGTATTTTATGGGATCGTTAATCTAATGAGCACCTTAGCGCCATATTGACTCGTGCCAATATGAACAACAAATTGTGTCTTCAACCAAACAAATTTTATTGCTTGTTTTCCGTAGAGTACTGAATTAAAGGCAGCCTATATAGCCGCAAGCTGTGGTCCTTCGAGGCAGCCTTATCCTATTCATGATGTATTAAGTTACTTTCCCTTCGTTTATCCATTCCCTTCCTATATGGCGACATCTTTAAAATTTTGAAATGAGCTTCTCTGTTCTTCTTGTTAAAAAGCCCGATGTCAAATGGCAATATAATATATTATGAAGACTTAGGGCCAATAGGTGCTCAAAATGGGCCTGAGTGGGCTAGTTTGTGAAACTTCTTGCCAAATTGTAAGCTGATTGTCAAACTTAGAGGCACATCTTTGGTCTATTATTGGTACAGGTTCATTGAAAAAAATTATAGTGGTTGAAATACTCTTTGTTAGCACACAAAATGTGGTTTCTATGAGAGTATTTATTTTCATCTCTATCCGGATTACTTCCAGCTTGTGCAAATACTTGAAAGATCATTAGGATATTTTATTTTCATTCAATTTATAGTTACTGAAGCAGAATGAAAGCTACCCTCTACAAATTTTACAAGGTCAAGAAGCTCGCCATAATCAATTATTAGAATAGGCTGCATCAAAGGGCTTGATACAGTTACTTGTTTGCGTCACATTTTTCTGTCATATTTGTACACAACTACAAACAGAGAACATATATTGAATATTTTCAATCTATCTATGTGGAATCGCAACAATGTGAGAAGGGCATAGATACATAAGAATACCGGCTAATATACTGCCTATCATGTATTCATTCATTTAAATAAGCACATTCACACTAAGAAAAGAAGAGTTATGCATATTGCATTTGAATTAAAGTTTATAAGTATATTCATATTAACTATTTTTGATGTTCTTGTTATCCTTCAAATATGAGATCCCCCGAGATAGCTGACGGAGGCTTTGAAATTTTGTCAAGTTAATGAAAGATTTTGCAATAGAAAAAATATGAGAAAGGCGAAATAATATGGCTAATCCCAGCATGAGATGATTCTTTAAGCGAGTGTCCATCGTTACCAAATTAAGCCCGCATTTTGCGTTATGAACCGCAAGTTTATTATTTTTCTGAAGCGAATTATGTGCTTGTCATCATTAAAATGCCTAAGGCATCTTTAAAATTTTTGGGTTTAGCTTAGAATAAGTATAGGTAATCTTTCACATAATTAAATAATGCATACGCCCACCATATTTGGTGAATAGCAAAATCTATTAATTTAGTTTCTAATTTCTATTCTAGTTTCTTAAAATCATTAATATGCCATTTAATTTTGGTTGCCAGTTCCACTTAGGTAGTCATTTATTTCTAAGTTCATTTCACGTAAGAATCGCCGCTTCCGCTTTTAGGCTAAGCAGAGCTTGCGACTTTTCTTTTATGAAGTTTAAATCGGTCAAGAGGGCCTTTGATATATCATCTGCTTTAGCACCAAAAATATTTCAATTTAAATAAATATTTAATTGTTTCCACTCAGCAATTATATTCTTTCAAATTTGATCGGCAATGGCTATAGCTCGAGGCTTAAAAACGTGGAAGATTACAAATTAAAATTTATAATTATACCCAATAGGTGATTAATCTTACCTGTTTCGCGGTTAGTGTTTTATATATCCTACAGGCATATAGGCCAGTTTTCTTAGACATAAACTGCTTGGCCTCACGGCCTCATTGTGGGAAAATGCACTATCAGTCCTTCATTCTCTTAAATGAACTGTGACACG